AAATATATAATTGTATCAATAAAAAATAAAAACATGAGAAAAAACAGGGAAAAGAAATCACTTATCCTAATTACAGTCATCAGAAAAGATGTCCATAATTAATATATGAACCACACAAGGAGGGAGAGACAACAGACCCCAGGCCAGGGCTCACCCATCATAACCTTAACCTGGGAAGTTGCTAGAAATACAGGCTTTAAGACCACTTCTCAGACCTACTGAATCATCAGCTCTGAGATAGAGCCCAGAGAGTTATTTTTTTGTGTTCTTAAAAGCAGACCCAGGGCCTCATGCACACTAAACACGTGCTCTACCAGCGCGTGGATACAGATTTTAATAAGCCCTACAGGTGATTCTGAGATGTGTTCAAATTTGAGGAATAGTCACACCAAAGATAAATCTGGGCTGATACTCTCCCAAGTAAATCCTTTAAAACACATGCCAGCAGCAATCTAATGCTTAAGAGAAATAGAAATGCATTTCATCCACTGCATGAGGAAAGTCAAGTTCTTGAAATAGGAGCAATTCTACATTATAACAAACCTCCCTCCCGGACCCGCTTCCACTACTTCCCGCCCCCACCCCTTTTGGCCTCTGGAAACTAGAGTGCTTTTCATGACATTTTCAAATGTGTATGAATAGGAAGCTGGGGAATTTCACTCCTCATTTGATTTATGACCAAAAATATCAGGCTCTTCTTGTTTCAGGCCCGGATGTGTTGTGAATTCAACGCCATCCCATGGCTCATAATGTCACTTTTCTGCAGAGCCACTATGGAAGAAAAATAACCGACTAAACTGTTCTCCTCTGACTGAGATATACACTTACTGAAAGAAATAATTAGGGATCTGGTTCTCACTAAAACACACACAGGCTAAATTCCACCTCCAGTTCAGCCAGGGCTAGAGTTTCTGAGTTCCTGTGCATCTGATGTTATGGTTACTAGTAATAATAAAGTGAGAGACTTTTTTTTAAAAAAAAAATTATTTTATATGTATTTTTAGTTGTTAATGGACCTTTATTTATATGTGGTGTTGAGAATCAAACCCAGTGCCTCACACATGCTAGGCAAGCACTCTACCACTGAGCCACCAAAGAGACTTTTTATAGTGGATAAAGAGTAGTAAAGGTGACAAGCAAAATTTGAGAAACACATATTTAAATCCACCATAAACAATTTTTGGCATGTAAATAAACATATATGACTATCTTGGGGTGAGGAGGGACACGGGGTGCCTCTGGAGAATGTGTTTCCATAATTAGCGTTCCACTGAGATTTTAGGTAAGCTTCTCAGAGTCTTCAGGTCACCCCAAAATTTCAATATGCCAGATTTCTCCTGGTCTCTCTTAATACTTAATAAGTTCATAATGATTTCATGTGAATCCAGCTGTAACTATAAAAAGCCAAGTAATGTGAGGAACAATTTCCAATCCATTTAAAGTCCCAAGAATGCCCAACTGGGGTCAGATGACATCATTATCTACAATTTATTTTAAGCAACTTTGGTTTAAAAAATGTTTTACTACTCTCTGGGTGAATTATAAATATATTTTTGGTTATGACTTGATTGACTAATCAAGTAATGTCTTGTAATTGTTAGTGAAGTTGTTTTTGTCTTCTCCGAGCATTTGTTTAAAACTGCATGCCCTTTAGAGATCCCGCCCACTCTGAATTTGTACTCACTCTGTTGCCTGAGTCAACACAGCAAGAGAAAACCTCATGTAATCAAGCAAGTCCAAGGTATTTGGTATTAGTATGATTTGTACTAATATGCCTAAGCCGATCTGCACATGTCTGGCACTAAATCAAAGAGAAGAGACAGTCAGATGTCATTCATCAAGTCTCCATTATGCAAGAAGCTAAGGAGTAAAATTGGCCAGAATGCTAACACAAAGCTGTCAAAAAATCATATGCCTGAAATATTCCCTAGACAATTGTGAAAGACTATCCGTCACCATGCATATATCCTCATCTCTCGCAAAGTTTGCATAACTAGGGAGAAAACATCCCAAGAATGACAGTAACAAATTTCCTTTGTATGTCCCCAAACTGCCACAAACTGAACCTACATCAGATGTGAGGTAGCACCCATTACGCCTTCTAGACAGGGAACATGGAGAAAATATGCAGAAAAGGTTTTGATTTATGGCCCTTTTCCTTCAGGAGCACCACTGTAGAGAGAAAGGGTCCTTGGATCTAGTGTCCTGGGTGCCCACTGGCCATGTAAACATCAAAAGATGGTCACGGTGTTCCTCCACCCGACACCAAACCCCAGCACAGCAACTTACGTGGTGGATGTCCACTCCCCACAGCTCCCTCCATCTGACAGAAGGTGGTTTCTCTCTGGTCCAGGAGGCCCATGAACAGTTGCACTCGTGGGCGATGGGGAGGACAGTGAGTCCTGACTGCCGGTGGGGGTGTCCTCCTTAGGAAGATTGGGATTGTCACCTAGGCGGAAAAAAACAAGTTTCAAACAACCTCAGAAGAAAAAATAACCACTAATAATTACATGGCATTACTTGATTAGTCAATCAAATTATATTCCAAATTACATTTACAATTCAGCCTGAGAGTATTTGGGTGTCCTGTCTTTGAAGGTGTGTGGGAGGGTATGTGCACGCAGGTGCATGTGTTTAACCAAAAATGCTTAAAATAAACCACAGGTTCCTGTCGTTTAGATCTGAAGTGTCCCTTAAAGTCCTGTGTGTTAAAGGCTTCACCCCAGCCTGTGGTCCCAGGGGGAGGCCGCAGAACTTTTAGAAGGTAGGACTTTGTGGGAGGTCTTCTGGTTTGGGGGGTGTGCCCTTGGAGGAAACAGTGAGACCCCGGCCCCCACCTCTTCCTCTCATTCCTTCCCAGCCAACAGCTTTTCTCTGCCACATGCTCCCAGTCCTCATGACCTGCCTCACCACAGGCCAAAAGCAAAGGGGCCAATGAGTCATGGACTTCCACCTCTAAAACTGTGAACCATAAACAATCTTCTCTCTGTAAAAGCAGATTTACCTCAGGTGTTGTGACAGAAAGAATGACCAGTAAGAGATGAAGAAAACACAATCATCAAAATGAGACCACACAGAAGACGAAAGCATCAACCACCACCACCACGGTGACTTCCTAACCTATAAGGAGCCCAGGTTAGGTGACATCATCGAGGCAGCCCAGGCAGCCAGCCAGGCCACACTGTCTGACCTCTCACTGGCTAGTCACCTGTTGGTTCTTTAAGCAGTCTCAGTCACTACTTAGCACATAATAAATTAAACAACTCTAAAAGGACCTCACCTTCTGAGCTGGTGTCTTGGATTACAATCTGTAATACCCAACTTATTAAAACCCCAGACACAGGGAAACTCCCATTTCCCTGTGAGCATCAGGGAAGACGGTATATCAAGAATCAGTAAAGCAACACTTCCTAAATGAGTTGTGTGGCTTATGCTTTCACAGAGGAACGACATTTAGTGTCATGTGTAGACCTATGGCCCTGGTTAGAAAACGCAAGAGACAGAAAGCTGGGGAGCCCAGTAACATCTGGTTCCCTCAAAACATCAGCTACCATGAAATGCACCAGCACTGCACCTAGTAGAGCTTGGCTCTTCAGTCCAAGCCATAGCCCCTATTAAATTTAACTCCTCCAGGGTGCCTTACAGAGGTAGCAGTTTTGAGAACACTAACTTAGCCTCCACTGCAGAGGTTATGGGTCATAACAGTTGGTCAACAAACTGCTGTGGAAGCACACGATACATGAGGTTCCTAACTCAGCCAGCAAGAGGCTCTAGCTAAGACTTCAGACCTCCTCAGTCCAGGGCCCTTGATACTAGGTACACATGAATGCTAGGAACAGTAAAGAACTTTCTTAGATGAATTTCATTTCTAAAAATGAAGCACAAGAGAAATTCCAGGCTCTAAAGCTAGAGTCAAGATGGCTAGTCTTGAAAACTAAGTGTAGACAATGAATCTTAATGACCTCTGACCCAGTTTACAACTGAAGTGAAGAGAGAATCCTACAAACAGAAACCTAGAAGTTTGGATGCAGAGAAGCAGGAGTCGAGAGACAGTGGTGATATCTGCTGGTGGGGGTGGGTAGGTAGTCAGGAGGATAAATGTGGGTGACCTTATGCAGCAGATTCTCGTAGGGAGTTTTTGAGCTCTTTCTGTTGCAAGCATGTTACAGAAGGGTGGGGGATAAAGTGATGCAAGAGACGATCTCTGTGGGCAGATCTTTCCCCAGGTTCAAGCCCCCCTAAAGTCTTGCTCTGTCTCTGTTCACAAACATACAATCTAGAATACTGTTTGACTGCTCTTTGTGCAAAGTAACTTTTTCCACAGCCCTTTACCACAAACAGGTTTAGTAATCGGAGAAACTCAACCCCAACAGAAAGGCCAATTCTGAGGTAAATGAACCAAAAACCACTGATAGACCACTGCTATAATTCCTTTTGACTTATTTTCTTTGGGGGATAGAGTTCACTTCAGAACAAAGACTGCCTCTTCCCTGTGCTTGGAGAGCTCAACTCCAGCCAGTTCTTTTCTGCAAATGAGCCCCAGGCAGCAAGGACTACAGCTCCAGCCCTCCTGGCCTTCCCAGTATCCCTCAGACAGCATGACCAACTGCGCCCTACAAAACCAAGAGGGTCTCTAATGCAGCCCTCAATAGGGGCCTGCAGGATAGCTGCCAACTCAGAGCTTGCCTAGAAGCAGCAAAATACCATGGGTCCTGAAGCAGAGCAGGATCCCCGCAAGAGTAAGTGGGACACACGTGTTTGCCTGGCTTCCAGAGGCCGCTTCCTGGCCCCCAGTTCCTCTGGGCAGCGTTCCCTGACTGTAAGGCAGGGCATGATGTGGCAAAAGCAGCCACGGAGAGTCTGGGATCAGTTTATTCCTTGACTCATTCCTACCAGGAGAAAGCTCTCAACAAGGAACAAGTTCAGGGAACTGGAGACCAAGGGTCTAACGTTACTTTAAAAAGATGCCAAGCTGATTCCTGTAGCCTCTAATCCATTTCCCAAGCAGACTGACACAGCACAAATTGTCATTCAACATACTGAATCACACTCTACTAAAGAGTATTCTCTCTTCCTGCCAAACAGTGGCAAACGGAACCTCCAAGTGAAAATAACAGGTAGAAGGGAACAGCTGTACGCACACTGATCCAAGGAAGCATACCTCACTTCCCAAGTGCACAAGAACTCCTTCCTTCACTGTTCACGAATGAGCTTATCTACTGGAGACGCTGAATTCTGGGGAGAAGCATGATATACACAAACTTTAAAAACCTATAGCCTTTTCTGAAGATGTAGTGACCAAGAATCAGATTACCACTTTCTAATTAATGTAACAAAAAAAAAAAACTTTTTAAAAAGCTTCTGTGTTCCACTGTCTCAGGAATGCATTTTAAATCCTATGAAACAAACTCCTAATTGAGAATTAAAATCAGATACTTTTATTTTCCACCTATCATTTCTTTTTTAAAAAAATTTTTTAGTTGCAGATGGACACAACACCTTTATTTTTTTTTAATTTAGTGTTGATGGACCTATATAATTTATTTATTTATATG